TCCTAATGTGCCACATAGGATTCTAAAATGACAAATTGCATTATTTACTTTCTATATGATTTCCCCTAAATTGCTGTAGCCTAACACTTTTTTTTTAATCACTGGCAAGTAAACTTCTAACAAAGAAACATATATAGTCTTCTTTTTAACTAATGCCCTCTTTTGGCATCTTTACATCTCAGTTTATGACAAAGGAATAATCTGCCCACATTTGGGATGCAACCAGTTTCAGTTATTTTGGCCCTCTAAGCTGGAAAGTTTCTTTGGCTTGAAGTTTGTCAGACTCTCTTTTAGAGAAGCAGAGTATCTCTGCAAAGCCTCAGAATCATTTCTCTGATTATATTCTGATTTGCATGGCACTGTTTAGCCGAAGTTAATTTTTTTTCAACTTCTGAGTTAGATAAAAAACAGTTTGTTCTTGTTTCCTTACACTTTTAACTCTGAAGCAGCTATACATAACTAGGCAGCTGTGTCTGATGGAAGAGAGAAATGACATTCCAATCAAGTTGTTTCTTTTTTTTTTTCATGGATAACTTGGAACATATCCCAGCTTGTAGCAATATTAAACAGAGGAGAGGTTTTTCTAGGTATAAGGGGGTTTTGCAGTTGTTTTCAGTAGAAAAGAATCTGCATGAATTCAGTCAAAAGTTCAGTGAGATCTTGCTAGATGGAACGCTACACCACTTACACCAATATACCTCCACCCATTTTTCCAGTTAACAGACTAGAGTTTGCTGTTCATGACTCCTGAAAGCTTTCCTGTGGCCAACAGCTGATAGAAGCCTTAATCCAGGTAACCAAGGTCTCTCTTTCTGGGGCTGCAGAACCAGGTCTCATCAATACCTGGGCAAAGTGTGTCATTTACTATGGGAACCAGGATTTCTTTTTACATTTGTAATTGTACCCAGCCTCACAGTTAAAAAGTGAATTTTGGTCTACTCTCTTAAATCCAAGAAAATTCTTAATTTTGAGGAAATTAAGTTTGTTTAACTTTTATCATTCCAGATAACTACCTTTTGAGCTTTCCAATGAAACTGCAACTTTAATACTTTTTGACAAGGCTTCATGCTAGTATGAATTTTCAAGGCCTTGAAAAAATAGGGTGTCTTAATAAAACATCCACACTTCAGGATGTAGTTCTCCAATAATAAAAATATCGAAGGAGTAGAAATGAGCACTAGTGATGTATTGACTTCCCAACCCGTAGCTAGCATTTATAAAAGTGGGAATTTAAGTTCTAGTAAGGTTCCTCCTTTGTTTGCAGCCATAGTAAACTCTGTCAGAGAGGGAGGTTTTCTAGTAGTAGACTTGCAGAAGGGAGGTAGGAAGTAGACCTTTACATAGCTGGGAGAATATCTCATTTCTCAGGTCAAAGATGTCCATTTTGTAATGGTAAAAATCTCTTTACATGGCTGGGACAGTTAATGGCATGGAGTTTTCTCCTTTCTTTTTTTGAGAAGCATAGGTGTGTGGGGAGGACATCTTTCATTAGACATTTAAAGATGCATCTAAAAAAAAGATAATTCACTGATAGAAAAAACACTGCATAGTGGGCCAGACATACACTACAAAGTCCTGAGCCATTGATTTGATAACCGAGTAATATACTTTTCCTGTCCGACTGTAGCAGTTCAAGGAAGTCATGCTAATTCAAGGACTAAAGTCCTTGAGGACCAAGTGGAAAGTCTCCCATTGCCTTTAAAGTCAATGAATCAAGTCAAGTCCCTACAATCCAATGACCTCCAAATTTTGCTAAGCACTGAGCTTCCCAGATGCCCCCAGGTGCTGTTTGCTATTTAACACTAACACTAGTGGGGCTTAAAATCTTGAGTTGCATTTTCATTTCTCTTCTGAATGTTTGGTTTTGTTTTTTTTTTAAGCTTGGAAAATTACCCATGGAACTTCATATCAAATTCTAGTCATAGCTGCTAACTTCACATGCTCTTGCCAACCTCATCACTTTCTTGGTGCGAAGACTAGAAAGCAAGAAAAGTTCCGAGAACAAGTAACATTAAATGCATGTATCAAAACACAATCTTTAACAGCATAAAGACTATTTTCACTTTTAACTTAAAAACCTGAACACAAAACATTCTAATTTTGACATCATTGATTAGCTCTAGTCAGTCCAACTACATATATATTTATACCATCACTTAGAGTCTTACGTAATTTTCACATCGCATTAGTTAAAAACATTCTCAGAAACAGCAATTTTGTTAGTGCTTCTCTTAGCTGGTATGTCTAACGAGTATTAATTAACCCGTAATCTATCTATAGCAAAATCAAGACAAAGCAGGGAAGTGTTACACACACCTTAATGTTCTCTTAAAATATCTTATGTTCATTAATACTTTAATTCACTGGTTCAAATAACTTCCTACTATGAGAGCAACTCTTTGCATTAACTAATGCAGAATTGGTTTTTTTAACTAATGCACATACAGCAATGGGACTAGAAGCATCCCAGGTATTTTCCTTCCCTTTCAGGCCCTGTAGAATTAACCATTTTACAGATTATGGCTCATACAGATTTATGCACACAGCCACTGCAATAAACGTTCTTCTCGCCAGCCTCCTATTTTGAGGCAGGAAAGTTGTTATTTTTCATTCCAATAGTCATCTAGCTTATCCAGGGAGGAACTTCTAAGGAACAATGTTCAGTCAAGTCATTTCACATTTGAGACCTCAGTAAAGTTAAATACCTATCTTGAAGTCTAGATGTTCCAAGAACACTTCAGTGATATAAAAACCACTTAGCATTCACGATCTTGTATTTCAAGCCTCTTTCTAATATGACTGTTGGTGAATAACATGCACATGGTAACACTCCTTAGCTTGTGGGGCATTTGGGTAGTTTTCTTTGGGTTAGAAAAGCCACAAATCCAGACTGTGAACAGCCATACTGAATGATACAAGCCTTAAAAAAGAAGTTTACAAAGTTGCATTTGTTTCATCTATTTAAACTGCCCTATTACAAATGTCAAACACCTGTATATAATTAATTATACTAGATGGACTTCTACCTCAGTAAGTCTTAGCTAATAGCCTTGCATTATTCTTGTTTAAACACTTACCAATTAAGCCCATGTACTTTACTGGACACTGAATTATGATCCTTTTCAGAAATTATCCTTTTAAAACAAAAGCTGTAATTGAAGCTTAAGAGGAAAATCATGTAATGGAAATGTCCTTCAATCCACTTTTAATTAACAGCACTGTGCGTAAATACAAGCTGAGCTACTCATTTACTCAAGAAAATGCCTCTCAAAGTATAAGACATTATCTCCTAGAAAATATCTATATTAAAGCACTTCTGGTTTGCGCCACTTCAGACCACTTCTATCCTATTGTCTTCCCAATTAGTTCATAGGACACCTGGCCTTTTTTGTTTTTAAATTGGTGGTTTTGAGATTAACATTTTGAACCTCGTGCTTTGCACAAGCCAACCTCTACATCCACACAAAGTCCAAAAGTCTGTTTATAATAGTCTACAGCTGTCATTTGCAGTATCGGGTTGGAAGGGCTACAAGACAGGACACACAGACTTCCAAATAAACTCTGTCTAAGCCTACTGAGCATACCAAGAGAACTGCTTTACATGAGTATTGCTATCTTCAGTCAAGAATACACTTTGTGTCTTTTGCATTTTTAACCTTAATCGCACAAAAAAAAATTCCCAAGCCAACAGCTCTTTTGTTTGGCATAACCATGACATTAACCTGGAGAAAGGAAGCATTTTCATTTTAGGTTTCAGCTGGCAAATGGTTTATGGGTCTTTGACACGCATACTTACATGAGCAGTCCTGTAGATTTGAGGCAGCAAAATTAGGTACCCTACATGAACATATATACAAGCAAGTTCTCTTGTTAGTTGGATTGAAGGAGTTGCTATTTGTTCAAAGAGTTTATTATAAACAAAAATGTGTAAATTCATGCCAGTTACTGAAGTTTCTAGAGATACATAATTATTTTAGTTTAATAAACTTGTCAATGTATTGAACTTTTACTTTCAAATATATATTTTTAGATAGTCAGTGACAAGAAAACCTTCATTTTAGCAACCTAACTCAATTTAGTCCTTATTCTGCATTGTATGATGCAGTACAAATCTGTAAGGACAGCAACCATTCACTGTACATCATTCAGTTTGCAGTATGATAGGTATACTGGATTCATTTGTTCTTATAATTTAGTCTTTCACACTAACAATATTTCCCAACCACTTTTGTAGACTGCTACCCAAACTGCATTTTGCTGAACTAAATTGTTTATTTTTCCTTCGTAAGTAGTTAGGTTACTGCTAATTGTTAAATAGGTTTTGGGCAGATAATTGAGTTTTGCTTTGCAGTGTATTGAAAAATGAACTAGTGAGGTTCTTCTGAAGAAACTAACACACCTCCTCTCCTAAATGACTAAGCTTCACATTTCGCAGAAATCAAACAGAATATTTGCAAGACAGAGCAGTACTTTTTATTGCACCAGAGAATGCATTCCCTGATGAAGATTTGAGAAAGAGCAATGGATGACCAGACTCCTACCACTTCAGAGCACATTTCTCTCTCACAGTGTCAGCAGTTAGGGATGAGCACTGCAGTCAAAACTCCAATCAAGTTCCTGCATATACTGTTTCCAGGCTGTCCCCAGCCTGCTCCTTTTTACAGGCCCTACAAATTACCCAGTTTTTTTCCACTGACTAGACACAGTGGCTTAGAGTGGACTTGCTTGTGGCCCTTGAAGCTTGGTTTTCTGAGGTGCAACAGAAATAGGGGAATATGGCATATGTTCAAGTTGAGAAGCTTAAAAGAAAACAGTTTAACACAGTGAATAAACCTTAAAAACTCCACAAATACAGCACTTCACACAATGATGTAATGAGAAAGTAAATATGGCTCTTCCATAAACACCACAGACTGGATAGCATTGTTTGAAACTTTTTAATATTCAGGAGATTAGGGGCATACAAAAAAAGTCAACCATTCAGCATTAAAAAAAAGTTGAATTCTTAGGCATTATGAGCAAAAACATCACTAGTATCTATTACCAGCAAGCGTATCCATCAGGTCGTTATCATTTCAATAATGAAATGTTATGTCTCTCGCATCAAATGGCGCTTTCATTTACATTTACAATACAATCACCTCAGTGGCAAGTGTTCTGGACAAAGTACAATCCTGTAAAATTCTTAACTATAACAGTATGAAGACATTGCTATACAGCACCTCTGCAAGATGCACACAGTATGCAAAACACATTTCAAAATAAGTTCTAGGTGTCTCTAATTTATATAAGGGAGAACAAAATTTAGTCCATCTTTCTCTTTTTTCCTTTAGCAGGAGTTTTGGAGGTGTGTTCATTTTCAGCATTTGGTTCCCAGAGTGCATTTCTTACAAATCTAGAAGCAGCTCCTTTATCAAGTTTGGATGCCTTTTTCTTGTCTGCTATTTCTTTGACCTTGTTCATGTACGTTCTTATTCTCTCCTGGGGGGGAGGGGAGGGGAAAAAAAGGAAAAGTATATTTCACACCATTCTCCAAAGATTGCTCCTAAAATAAAATCAATGAGTAGAAGCTCTCCACATTGTACATTTCTATAATACCTAGAAAAATAGCATCATTTAAAGATATGTATCAGGCTCTTCATGAACTTCAGGCTTCCCCTTTAGCAGATTTTCCATCACCGGTACCCACCATACTAATATCTGCATGACATCCACTGTCATAGGAACATGAAGTCCTGCAGAGATGAAGACTCTGCATCTAATTCACAGCAAGATGAGAATTGTTTTTACAAGCAAAGTTAGGAAACAAAATACTGAACTCAATTTGGAGTTTGGCCTACATTGGCAAAATAATATTTAGACTGACTACTCTCAAAAAAAAAAAAAAAGAAAATTCAGCATGTCCAAGCAAAGCCAAAAAGTAACTTACAAAAAAATCAAAGATTTACAAGCATTTACACATGCATCTACACATAAGTCTTGTGGTTAAGATCCTGAACTGGTCAAGGGGGCTTATCATCAAACCTATTTAAGGCAGCCTGATGAATTTCCATTTGTACTAGAAGTTCCTTTTATGACCATAAATAGCAAAAAAAGCCAGTTTCCACTGCATTCCATAAGCAAAGGGATACTTTCTGGCCATCTTAACCTACCGTAGTCATTTGATGTCAGGTTTGTGGTTTTTTTAACAAAGCATGGCTTGGATTCAGCCCCACCTGCGTATACCCGCCCATCTTAATCTCATTTATGTGCCTACCCATCCTCATCTACTTCTAGAATAAATAAAATTACTCTGAGGGGGTAAGATGGGAAACACCCTCTGTTAAGTGCCTGCTTCTCTTCACTGACTAGAGAGGACACTTCCAGTAATTCTGTAAAATACGTAAAAGTTTGGTTAATAGATTTCATGTCTACATCTTTAGCCTAATACGGCCTTCAACTCTAGGGCCTTTAGGTGTTACTGTAATACAAACAACAGTAACATATACATACAGCGTTTTACCCAAATTATAAATGTAGATTAACAGAATGTTTATGGATACTGCTAACTAAATAAATGTTGATATTATGTAGCGCACATATTTCTCACACAGCCATTGACAGCTCTTTGAATCTGGAACAAAAGTTACAAGATCCACACTACCGAACTGATTTTCAGTTCTTCAGTGACCATTATAAGCAAGTGATTTGTCAAAAACTTGGCCACTCTTTCTGTATCAAAAACATAGCTTTATTGAGGAGAGCTTTACAGGGTCTGAAATCATAATAGACTGTAATATTTCTTTGCTGACTGAGATGGCTAATGAGAACAGATGGCAAACCTACATGTACTAACATGGGAAAAAGAAGCTGACAAATGTCAGTGTGACAAAAGAAATGAACTCTGATAGCTTGAATGTGAGTTTTATTAATAGAGTTTGAATCCCCGTGTATTCCCTGTATATACACAAGGAGAGCAATTCTAAAAAACAAAACAATAGTGACAGAACAGTCTTTTTTTTATTCCCTTTCCACATGAATAAGAACATGACAATGCTTTTGGAAGGAAGGAATGTGCATTCATTCACCTTGATACTTGTAAAAGGAAGAGAGAACTGGAGAAGAATCTAGGCTATGATAATTCACTCATTCTTCAGAGTTAAAACAACCGGCAATTGTGAAGTAAAATACCAGCACACAATATCCACAGCAGAAGAGATAAAATTTATTTTTCAGTATCAATAAATTAACACAATATTCAGACGCTATATAATATAGGACGAACAAGAAACTGACTGAAAGCTCATGAAATATTAACTGATCCATTTTTTTAATATCATACAGTCTAGACTACTGAAAACCTCACAAAATTTAAAATAGAAGTATTCTTGTTATTCAGGCTAGCTTTCCACATTTTTCAGTCCTATCTTCCGTTCCACTGGTTATGTAAGGATTACATTTAAGCTAAGTATTTTACTATTGCCCAGATTTAATATTTTCATTTATCCAGGAATTAAATTGGGTAGCTATAAGTTTTGGTTTCTATTTTTTCTTCAGGCTAAATGATTTGATTTTTTTAAGTCAGCAGAATTTTCAAGATAGCTGGCTTTCTATACTGTAGTCATGCATCTAAATGGAATATAAAGACAAACCTAAAAGATTTATTATAGGTTGTAAATATGTCACTAATGCAGAATTACTGGACAATACACATACAACTGGTGCCAAAAAAGCTTTTAGCTTTGTTGCTGAACTGGATTCTTTACTGCTGAGAAAATGAATTAATGGAGGACTTGGAAGGGGGAGGGGGGCTCTTTCCCGTCTTCGCTAGTAAATCAACCACACTATACTTTTAGAGTCATACAAAAGTAAGAGAAGGCAGCCTCAGAGATTAACATGATTCCAAGTATTTATAAGAAAAAAATGCCCTACTGGAAGTTATAAATTATTGTCAGACAAGTAACATTTTTCCATTTAACAGATACAAGTGAAAAGCTGCTCTGTTCAGAATCCAATTCTCAAACAAAGATGGAGAAAAGAAAAGATAAGATGACACCATTCATCTTCCTGTTCTTTTCTAATTTCAGCACACTCTACAACTTTGCTTTACACAGTACTGTTTGGAACTAAAAATGTGACTTTCTTAATTTAGAGAGCCCAGCAGGGTGTATGAACAGTTATATAACACCATGTAGCATATGCATACTATTATGGCAACATACCAATTTTAAGCGTAGACTTCTATACAAGTTAACTGTCCTGGGCAAGTAAAATATTGCAGTGCATGCAGTAAGAATCTTACCAGTTCTTGTTTCACTGGATGTTCCTTTGGATTGATTCCCTGAGTAGCCAAGTATACTACAAGGAAAAAAAACATGTTTTTTTTGAAACTGAAGGCTGTCACATAGGAAAACTACAGTTTTCCCGTAAAACCATTAATAAAAATTGGAGTTAACTGTGTTGTTAAGCATATGACAAACTATTATCATCAAATATTGCAGCTAAAAAAAAAAAACAAACATGGTTAAACTTTCTGTCCCTAAAAGGTTGCCACAAAAAAACCCCAAAACACAGAAACAAACGTCCTTGTGCATGTACAAAATCGGCTTTTGTAAATATCAATTTTTGATTTGGAGTTTTGACATCATTTACCCTATGGATGGCGATAATTTGAGTCCTCAGGGTAATTACAAGTTTATAATTATTTGGCTATGAAATATGATTATTTAATGTTTGCAGCTCTCCAGAAGATGTTCAGATGGCAATCATAAATACTACTTTTTCCTCGTACCACATACTTACCCCAGAACATTGAATTTAACGTGTACACTGAAACCAAATCCAGCTTTGCTTGCTCAAGAGGCTCTAACTGGAATGAAAAAAAAACCACCACATTTGCATATTTTTAAAATAAGATGTGCACAGATTTTACTAATATGCACATTTTGTAATTGTGAATGTATTCATAAAAAAACACACACTGAAGGAGCACATTTTTGCACAAGTTCACTGAGACCATGTCTACGCCTATTTCTGTGCCATCACAGAACCATTCTCTCCTCTGCAAGTACTCATGTCATTTTCCCAATCTGATGTTAAATGCCACAGTCCCATAGGGCCAAAAGTACAACAATCTCTTGGCACGTAGCTTTTAGACTACTGTTCCCATAGTCAGAAATAAGTCTCTATTTTTCCACAGAAACTTAATTCAAAATAGTTGTTGCTATCAGTAATAATAAAAAAAACCTCTTAAGACTGCTGATGCTCAAATGTGAATATAGTACACTACAGACAATCAATGAACATTAAAACTACACGAGGTAGACTGTGTGTTCAGTGCATGCTGGAATAGTTAGGCCTGTAAAGCAAAGGAAGAATAAAGGTAATGAGGGTTTTTTTTTTTTCCCTTGACTGTCAAAGTCAATTTATTATTTTAGTCCTACAGGACTTCTAGAAACTCTGATAACATTATTGTACAACTCACTAGTTCTAACATGGATACTGTCAAAAGATAGGTGTTGTCAAGACTGTTTTCTTTATAATTTACTTGTGTTAGAAATCCTCAGAGGATAAAGAAGTTCTCTCATGTGCTGGCTTTTTCTTGCCCTAAAGAAAGAAATTACATGTTATGCTTTAAACGTGAAAAGATAGAGAGGCTTGTATGAAGTCTTCAGGCAGTACCTTGCCCTGTCTTTATGCCCTGAAAAAAACACACATTTTACAGACTTGTGCTTAAAACATAGCTAGAGGAGACAGCTCAGTTTTTGAAGCACCAGGTTCTGCAAGTCTAGACTTCAAGAATTGGATCAATTCTCACTGCTGTCAATTCACCTGGGTATACCAAGTTCCATTAAGTTTGTTGTGAAAAGGTCTCAGTCAAAAATGTGACTGACCTCTCCATTATGAAAGACCACTCAGCATGCACTTTAAGGAAGGCCAGGAATAAGCTAGAATGTCCTCCACCTAAATGACTCACTGGTAGGATCATCACTTTTCAGCTTGGAAGAGCATGTATTTCATTTTTTAGTTTGTAAGACCATCTGTATATCTTCGAAAAGTAAGAATTTCAAATATTAAGTATCAAGGGTAGGAAGTGTCGTATTTGTTATTTCTCTGTGCAGTGCCTAGCCTAACGGACCCTTTATTTCAATTTGGGTTCCCAGGTATTCTTTTATTAACAACAAAAAGGTTGTCAAAAGGAAGATTGTTTACCTTTTGGAGAAGCTCACTCCTGGAAACTGACATCATTGTTTTCAGCATCTCATCTACAGAACCAAGAGATTTTTCAAATGCTGCAAGATAATCATGAATTTCAGTGGGGTATTCTTCCGTATTAATACCATCTTCTGACATTTCCATCTGGAAAGAGGAAACAAAACTAATAATCCTTTTCATTAAGTCCCTACAGAATTAAAAGACTGTATTTTACAATACAAAGCATTAGCATTAATTCATTAAACTTTATAAGAAATGCCTACTTCTGAAGAGTTCTAGCAGGTAATGTCAATAGTGATACACTTAAAGGTCCTTGTAAGTTCAGGCATATCTCTTAACTGCTGTGCAAAATGGCATGAAGGAGCATTACAAACGACATGACTGTAGTACCTATTCTTGTAACAGTCCCAAACCAGTATTTAGCTTTTATGGTGTGTGATAGAAAGAAATTATTTGCTTGTTTAAAAGAAGTGCTCTATAAATCATGGTATATAAAGAGCTACACCAAGCAACAGGCAGGACACTTTAAAAAACAAAACAAAACAAAACAAACAAACAGGGGTATGGCTTCAGCCTGTCTTAGGAACAGACATTACTTCAGCTTTAAAGCAGTTATGCAGCACCAGTTTTGTCAGGGTCAGTTAGATCTTCCAATGCTACATTTAAGAGTTGGTCCAAGAAATTCTTCTTGTGAACCCTGTATCCAGCTTTCCGAATTCCCTGTGGGGTATTATAATCTGCGATATAACTCTAACAAAGCCGAGTTGATTTGGGGATTTCAGAATACTCTGGAAGTCTTGTAGATGCATCTATGCACAGCAACTGTGCTTTGCTCATAAGCAAAGATGTGAAAAATCCCAAAGCACTCCTTTTCTGATCCCAGCATTCATGGTAACATGGCATGGCTACTGCCAAGCCATCTGGCTGCTGGCTTACAATTGATATCTTTAATTCCTCTCAAATCATAAATCACATATTCTCTTGGGGAGTTAATGTTACTTAAAGCTATGTAACAACTTTCTGTAACTTCTACTTATTGAGCAACAATTTTTTAACATTTTAAGGAAAGAGAGGAAGAAAGGCATAATTTTCCTGCCCATTTGGTGAGCTGCACAGTGGGAGCACCTGGATTACGGCAATCCTTCCCACTTAGGACCAGTGGTGACAATCCCACTACCCAGCCACTGAGTACAGAGGGAGGGAGAAACTGCACTTTGAAAATTTGATCTATGAACACTGAGCCACACAGCCAGTGCAAACAGCAAGGAAACAGCAAACAGCTGTCACATCACTGGACTTTGTTTTACATAAAGATTTGATCTTTCCCTTTTCCTGGCAAGACCGTGGTATGTGTGAGAGAGGTTTCTTTTTATTTATATTGTCTCCTGGAGGTCAAACAGGAGGAAGATTGGGAGGAAAACCAGTGTGGAGCTTCTCAAGCTTGTCTGCTACTCCAGTTTTAACCACACCAGTGTGATTCCAGAAATATGATCAGCCAGCTAACAAGCCAAGTTTTACTGCTGTTGTTTGCATAGTTTAGAATTATAATCCTACTCAGCTGCATGACTTTTCATCCTGGTCAGAGCTGTTTTCCAGATCGAGTACAGAATCACAATGCTAACCATGACATGTTGTCCCTACCCCAGCATACAATTCACACATGTAAATACTGTTTCAGTCAGCTGCAGCAGACCTAAGCAAGAAAGAAGAGCTGGACCTACAAGATGCCGCCCACAGAAATGCAAAATACCAATACAATTATTTCTGCCATTTACAATAGTATTGTTTGTCTTTTGTTCTGGCCACTTGCATTATAATCACCCTTCTTAGGCTGATTAAGAGAGTCCAGAAACACTGTTTGTTGTTAACTTTTAGTCATATAATACAGCACAAAAACTACTCAAAGCTACAGAAGAAACTAGATTTTCCCAGCTGTTAATACAGTTAAGCCTGGTAAGAAGGTATCTGTCAGTACACATTTACACATACAGGGAGAGAGGTGTAATCCAATCCAACAATCATCTACAGAGTTTACCATCACTACAATACTTAACTTACTGTGGTCTTAATTTGATGGACATGCATGAACATACTGATAAATCCCAACTTTTCTCTCTCTCTTTATCAAGGCATCCAGCACCAGCAACTACAGGGGAAAAAAAAACAAACCAAAACCCAATGTGTTACCAATTAAAACTAACTCGAGCTATTTTACAGCAGTTGCAAGAATAAACAGTCACTAGAGCATATATGATACTTTTTCCAATATTCCAAGCTAGACCTAAAGAATGAGACAGAGAAAGAATAGGAAGATAGAAGGAAAGATAACAGATAACAGTCCTATGACTGCTGTCTCATGAACTGGAAAGAATTATCGTTGCCCTCATATCACAAAGTACTTACTTGACACTGTCAATTAGCAAGGAAAGGGAAAAAGTGCATCAGCTTTCAATGGAACAAGGCTGCACATTAGCCCATGTACAGTACCCTTCACTGATCCTTCATCCGCTCCTTCTGCCCAGGGTGGGGGAAGAATTTGTTGAACTTGTGTTTTCTGTTCAACAGGAACTAGCAAGTTCCTACTCCTGCTGTGTAGAGACCTCTCTCTTTTCATTAGACTGTTGTTTCAGCATTACTAATCTCCAAGCAGGATATGTTACAGTGTTGGCAGATGCCAACAATAAGGCAGCAGGCAACAGCCTAAAATAGTCTTGATAACACTAAATCAACAAGAACAAACTTAACACCACATTAGAAAACAGGTACAGTGGAAACGCCACAAAGTTGTTCCTGCCAAAATCAACACACAGACTGCACAGTCACACCTGCAGAATGACAAAGCCAAGGATGGAAGGAACTAAGACCATATCAGTGACTCTCTAAACATACCTAAAGGCTATACTGCCCTCAATAGTTACGCTTCCGTTATTAAACCACAAACAAGATTTTCCTCATGTGTAACAAGTGTTTCTCTATGTATTTTGAACAAGTAGAAATTTAATTCTGTTCCTGAAGTTGATGTATACTACACAGGTTTTCTTTGTTGGATTTACTGAGTTTCAACCAAATTTTATTTGGCATAGAGATTCTGCTTTAAAAAAATTAAGGACAGTACAAATATTCAGATAAGAGAAGTTATCAAAATACTTGCTGGGTAAGCGTGTGACTAATGGGGAAGTCAAAGGGAGAGAAGGATAAGACCTTTTCATTATCAAGTAATAACACTTATGATGCAGAATACATCATGTGTGGTTGTGTGCATGATGATAATACTTTATAAAGTCTTTAATTTTCAGAATGCAAAGGAAAGTTCACAACCCATAAACATAAAATTACTTTGATTAAGGACGCTGAGGCAAACAAATGGCGATGAAAAATGCGGTATGACTTCATAACATCAATCTACCAGAAACAGCTTTCCCTTTTAACCCTGAGCTCAAAAACTGATGTGTAGTTTTTGGGAAACGGCATAAAAGAAAAATATATTTGAGGAAGAAAAGGACTTTAAAATCACAAAAGTAAATAATTTCCAAGAGAAAGCTTACTCATTGCATTTAAATGTGATCAAAAATTGTCTTATAAAATTAGTTTCCACAGGTGGAAAATTTCTGAATATTCTGAAATTTCAGGAAAATTATTAGTAAGTTCTCATTTATTCAGAAACATGACTACATTTATGTAAATTTCTGCCTTGAAAACAAGGAACACCTCTTAAAAACAAGTAACACCTTGTTTCTCTCCAGTCAATATAAATCAGAGCAAGTAGTACATTCAACCTGCAAAAAGGGAAAGGAAGGAAATATCAGACATTACGAACCACAGAAGAGACACAAATACGAAAAGGAGAAAGCAAGAGAAAATACGTCATCTTCTGCAGACATAGGTGACAGTCCGAAACAGTTTGCTTGTAGTGCTAATGTGACTGTTGATCCAAGATCCAGCTGACTTGGATGCTGTATTAAGGAAGTTGAAATAAAAACAAACAAAACACAGATAATTCTGCACAATACAACTGGCAAAATCATCCATCTTCACATTTATCTTTCAGGAGAATGAAGAGAAGAACTTTGCAGACACCTTTCAAGAAAAGCACACCCATGACTGGCATACAAAGGTAAGAAAAGGAAAAAGGGAAACTGCAGACAATTTGCAGGTGGCTTTTATGAATAATCTTTCAATATATCTGGTGTTTTCAATAAGCATTAGAAAGTAATTGCCAGCTGTCTTAAAAAGCTAAACCAAACCTCCCTTCCTGTCCACCCCCACAGCAAAACTGTATCTGTCATACTGAAAGATATAAACTCTAATTAGGCCCTAGGTACCTCTAGGAGAGATTCTGCTGAAGATGCATGGTGAAAATAATGGAAACTACATGCATATATCAATGTGGCAATAGGAAATTCCAAAAGAATTAAAAAATGCACAGTGTTAGTGTCATGCACAAGGTGGAGTTAAACTGGAGTTAAAACTGGCAAGTTCAGGATAAAAACAGTGTATTTGAAATATTTTGTAACATGCAAACAGAAGATTTAGCATCCGTCATTCTGCTTAATATTGCAACTCACTTCACACTTCATGTTAATTCTTGCCTATTTCTTAAGCACTACAATGCCTTATTTTCATATTGAGCTCAGATCACCTATTTTTTCAGATTATTTGTCTAACAAAAATCCGATTCGACTTTCCTTCTTTTCATGGATATTTACAGATTATCTAGAGAAAACCAAAACAAATCCAAAACCTTTTGGTCAGGGTATGTAAAAACACTCTCAAATTCAAGACACATGCATTAGCAACATCAATATCACAAACCATCTCTGCCAAGCTCTTAAAAACTGACACTGTCCTTCCTCTTGTGAGTTCTGACTCACAACCTACAGTGAATGTAACTGACGTGCAAGCACAGCAGAGATGTCCCTTCAGTTCTAACACTGTAGTTCACTGCTGTGGCTATAGGACATCAGAGCAACAAGGAACAAGCATCTTAAAGCTACCAGAGATCATGACTAAGTTCTTTGATCACAAACCTCTTTTGGGCAGAGAAATCCACTTTATTCCATGTTTGCAAAGCTTTACGCATGATAGGCTCTAATCTGTGACAGAAACTCCTCAGCATTATTGCTACATAATAAATAATTAGTTGCCTGC